CGGCCGCGTATTCCGGCCGTTTGGCCGGGATTTCGGCTTCGATTTGGCCATAGGAGGAATCAGTGGGGAAAAACGAGTCGGGGGTATGAAATTTACCTCGATCGGCGGTCGGAAATTTCCCCGGTGCGGCGGCGAGTGGCGGCGGGTGGCGGCGGTCGGCCTCTGGTTCGTCTTCTCCGGCGAGCGGCTGGCGGCTAGGGTTTTTGGTCTGGTGTGGGGGTTCTATTTATAACCCCTTACCTTTTGATCACAGCCGTTCGTTTCGTTTTAATCTGGGTCGTTCGTTTTTGATTGAATCTGGGCCGTCCGTGCGTTTGAATCTGGGCCGTCCGATCGCGTGATTGATCTGGGCCGTCGGATCGCACCCACGCGGATCGCCAACGTGGCTCCTTTCGGAGTGACGCGATCTTGCCACGTGGCAGGCCCCGGTTGGCCGGGACTGCTGACCGGGCCTGCTGATGTGGCTGCTGACGTGGCCCCCCTTTTTTTTTCTTTTTCTTTTTTTTTTTTTTTTTTTTTTTTTTTTTTTTTTTTCCTCCTCCTTTCCGGGTGCTACATTGTGTGTATTACTGAATTAGAAGACAACTATATATACACATTCTTAGGGTAATAAAAGAAAATATACAATTAATTACCTATACAGTTTTTTTACTAATATACCCTTTTCGCTGATTATACAAAATATCCTTTCCTATTTAATAAATATTTCCCAACAGGAACAACTCCAAAAAAAGACCATGGCCAGTAAAGTCTGTTTACATGATACAATGTGTTAAAACCAAACACCCAAACCAAGAAAGATCTGCAAAACATTCATCTCTTTATGGAACTGCTCACTTTTTTTTTTTTTAAATAAATGAACTGCTCACTTAAGAAGTTATATAAACTAGACAGAGGAGATACCAAAAAAAAAGGAGGCTCATATGGCTCAGTAATATCCGCACCTTTCACAAGCAACTAGTTTCACAAGGGCTTGTTTGTGTTCTCCAGCTTCAAAATAAGAAAAGTTAACCTGCAACATGAAACTAGCATAGTTACAGTTTATGCATAAAGATGAATTAAGAGGTTGTTTGGGTTAGCTTAAAACAAAGGTGCTTATATGGCTGACAAGTTTTTTCCTAGCTTAAAGTTTTTTTTTCAAAAAAATTAATTTTACTAGCTTAAAAGTTATGAGCTTATTTAACAAATATATTGTTGAATTGTTTGGTTGAAAATGTGCATATAAGTTGATATTTAATTAACAAAAACTGAAAACGGTAATGATATTAACTTAAAATTTCAAAGGTAATATTATAATTTACTTGATTGACACAAGCTTATTTTAGATCGCTTATAATTTCTTAAAATAACTCTTCCAATTGCTTGTAAGTTTTTTTCTTTCTTGAGAAGAACTTGTAAATTATCTAGATTCTAAGTTCTTTATTAGTTACCAAGCATATCACAAAATATTTTTAAACTCAAAAAGAGCATGTAAGCTGCTTAAGCCAAAACCAAATGAGGTAGGAAAAGTGGGTTGAAATCAACCTTTTTACGAAAAAGATATATTAAATTCTTACTCAAAACTATACAGTGTTAGAAAAGAGTTGCCAACATGTAGGTAAATTAACATAGATCCTCATAGTTGGTCGGACACTCTCCTTCACGTGGAGTGTGTACGTGAGCAGATAGGAAACAAATAGATTATGGACAAAATATTTGGTAAAACCAAGCTATTAGGAGAGATTAGCTTTGGTACCATGCTAGCTTCTTACTTTAAACCATATGACATTAAAAGAGTTGCCCAACAGAAACAAATTCTCATTCTTAATCAAAGTGAGATTACATCCTCTACCACAAATAACTTATGAGGATAATATTGAATTAGAGAAAAAAAAATACGTGATGAAATAGATGAAGGGAAAGACACAATATAGGATATGGAAAACTTACACAAGATGAAAACAGGAAAAAGGGTAAAAAGAAAGAAAGATTATAAAATAAAGAAATAAAACCCTAATAAGGAATTCTTACTTCAATGTTTTCTACCATTGTCAAAGCAAGCATCTTTTTATCAATTAAAAAAAAAGTATTATTCAAGATGAGAATAGCCATGTTATAATCATGGTAAATAAAATATCCTCTTAAAGCAATATAGCCTTCTAAGAAGGTGTTTGAATAGACTGTAACTTGTGTTGTGAGTTTTAAAAATGCTATTAAAATAGTTGTTGATTAAAAATACTTCTATTTAAAAGTTATTTTGTATTTAGTAAAAATAATTGTAAAAAGTGTTATTATTTCAAAAAAATAAAAATTTTATGTTTGGTAAATATACCTTTTAAAATTTTAAGCATAACTTTTTTAAAAAAATCTCAAATTAATAATGTTAAGTGTTAATCATATTGTATTATTTTTTTACTCCAAGTTGAGTATTAATCACGTTGTGAAACTGGGGAAGCACACAACTCACTTTAGATCCGAATTTTAGAATGAAAACTTAAGTTACCCTCGTATAATCATCTATAAATGAAACAAACCATTTAACCCAAG